CAAGGTACCAGGCATGGCTTGTGAATGCTGAGATGGTGGGGTAGATGAAGCATCCCATGGGAGCATGTGGGGGCCCCCTGCACGCTTGGCAGCGGACTTGGAAGTGGAACAGAAGTACTTCCAGTCCACTTCCAGGTCCGCCGTGGACCACATGGGGAACCCCTCCTGTGCCGTGGCTTGGCGACTGGTGCCTCCTTGGGGGGCACCCAGGGTCCTCCGATAGCTGAGCCAGGGGATGCATGGGGGTGGTCCCCTGTGCACTCTGCAGCAGACCCAGAAGTGGACTGGAAGTACTTCTGGTCCACTTCCAGGTCCATTGCCAAGCACATGGGGGTCCCCCCTGTGCTCCTGTGGGACGCTCCACCCACCCCATCATCTCAGTGTTCATGAGCCATGCCTGATACCTCAAGGTATGTAGAAAAAACATATAAAACATATAAAGCAGTGTCTATGGCTGAATCACTGATTCTCCAAATCAGAACTGAATGTTCAGATCACTGTCCCCTGAACTGAGCTGAATCTGAATCCAAATCAAATACTGCCTGCTTCGTACATCCCTACAGCACATGCACAGGCAGCTTGTCTAGACACACCCATAATGTGCCATTCAATGAAGCCTGCTTTTGGCCTTTTTGCTGGCTGGAAGTTTTCCCCTTGCTTAGGGATAAGTGAAGTGCACAGCCCAATGTAGTTATGGAAATGTTGGGGATCTATCTGCTCTTATTTGATGTTCCTGGTCAGTTATGATATTATTTAAATTCAGACTAGAAATACAGGGAGGGTATATTTTAAATGTGCACAGCCAAGACACATACCTATGCAATCTGGCCGTGTAGCAAAGAGGCTTATGAATAAAAAAGCTAAGCCCACTTTATGAAATATTAATGAGCAGGGCCTTTTGTTTAAATGTGTGTTTTTCCTCTGCTTTCACAATAATAATTTGTAATGCCCTCACAAGAGCTCTGTTGTATTTCACTCCATCTGTTATAATCATTTCTTCATCAAATCCCAATGTCGTCCTCTTTGTTTAAATCATAATTTCTATGTAATATAATTGGTCTTGGCATTGGTTTGTGTGGAAACTAGTCGCTGGGTAGTATCTAACAGCAGTATCATATTATTAGTGACATCCAATGTTTCTGTTACCTCCTCTACAACTGAGCTCAGCAAGCTTATCAGGTGTTACTATTGCATGGCACCCATTACACAGTATAAATGATGGCTACCCAGTGGGTCTTGGTGAGAATTCTAAGTGTTTTCTCTTCTCTGTATTGAGGGCCATTTACATTGTGTCAATGACTCCTGTGCTAGCATGGTATCTGAGACATCTGGGCATGGAGAGAGTATTCTGTATTTCTCTACACAGTGAATGTGCAGTCACTGAGCTGCCAAATTCCTACTACAAGATGCCAGACAAAATTAACTTGTTTTTGATTAGTTATTTACCTGAAGAGACAAATTTCCTACCTTGAGGATTAGATTGTTTGTTTACATCTCCATTTGCCCTCAAGTATTCATACATTTAGAGGAATAAATACATAATTTCTAAACCGATACTGTAATTATATGTAATGAACTGCAATAGATCTACAGTAAAATGGAAAGACTCAAGAAATCAAGAGGCATTTTATACCACTTCGAAATATTTTTTAAATTCACCTGATCTCAAGCATGCTCTTAGGCCTAAGAGAGGTGATAGTTCATGTTCATCAGGCATGCCTTTAGAAGAAATCCTTAAGGCTCTGAGATAAATAACCTTGCCCCAGGGAGCCTTAAGTGAGACACTAAGACTCAAGGAAAGCTTCATTAGATGTGTTTAGATGTCACTGTGAAAATGTCTTCATTTTCTAAAAGAAGGCCTTCACAATACTGGAGTGTGCTTTTGAAACTGGATATACAGATCAATTCCTTTGTCTTCTTAATATAGCCTTGGCCTATTGTGTTCAGTGAGAACACTCCCAAAATATAAATATACTGAATAGCAATTTATAATTATTAATGGGAAAAGGGTATCCAGATGATAGGGTCATTGCACTATGGTATCAGAAATCATGTGAGCTAGAGGAAATACAATGTTTTTTTCACACAAAAGGCATGAAATCAAGGTTATTGAATTTAGTGCTGGTTTTTCCAGTGACTACAGTGGTTTTAGATTTGGTCTCAAATCTCTTTTTTCCCCTCTTGCTGCTGTTCTCTCATGGGCACTCCCATCATTCCAATAATTACAAAATGCCAGCAAACATTTTCTTCCGAAGGAAAAAAAAATCATATCTTTACACCATTAATTGAATGGAATATAGTGAATAAAGGCATTTGGCATTTCATACTTATTGCACTGATTATTACTGTTTGTAGTATCATAGAGCCTAGACCTCCCTATGAAGATAAGAGTCCCATTTGTACAAACAAATAGTAAGGGGAAAGTGTGTGCCCTAAAAAACTTCTGTTGACAAAAACTTAAATCACAGTATTGGTTTTAGAAAGGTAGTGTACAGGACAGCCCACATATATCTTGATGCTTTTCATACTTGTGAAAGTTTTCTGGGTTTTTTGTAATCCACATTCTAAATACAGGGAATACTATCCTACATTCATCCTGATCCTGAAAAAAATTCACACAGGCTAGTAGCCCCACTGAGCAACCTTATCTGCAATAGCAGTGAAGAATTCAGTGCAGTAAAATACCAGAACTAGGGGAGCACTTGATATATTAATATGTAGCAGGAAAAAAGTCACCTTCAGTTAAGATCAAATAACAGGTTTGTTGCAGCACACACATTTCTGAACTGTATACATGCTCTAGGAAGAGGGGAAATATCCCTAACAGAATCTAAAATGTTCCATATTTTTGCATTTAATTTGAAATCAGTTCTATTTTCTTGATATTTCTAAACCAAAACCAAACCATGTTCAAGTGAAATACCTTTCACTCAGCAAACTGACAAGGGGCCATGAATTTGCCTGCTTTGTATACATATACTTGCTTACTGAATCGATGCTATAGACATATTATTGTGAAGTCTGGTGAACATGAAAGCAGGCAGGACAAAACTAGACTATTTCATGTAAAACCACCCCTCTCTGCCTTTCATTCAGCTCTGTGAGGCAGCTGCACAATGCATTCTATACTGTACCTGACTGAGAGGATGTATGTATAGTTAACTTGGCATGATATACAGTACTTTAATGGTACATATGAAATAGCCATTGCTTTGACAACAAGAAAAGTCTTTAAATGTATAAATAATAATCATCATAATCCTTTGAACAATGGATTCTTGCACTTTGTTGTTAGCCCCTTGGGACCGATTTTGCACTCATTATTCAAACTATTCTTTCCTGACTACAGAGGGCAGATTCATGTCTGTAATCATGAATGCAACAGTTATCCAAATATAGAATTACAAAAAGAAGGTCTCAGGGCTAAATGCATGACTAGAAGCCCTTCAACAATTCCAAAATCCATTATAGTAACAATCAGTGGCATTTATTAAGTCAGATATGAAACAACATAGTACTTGCATAGAGTCTGAAGTTTTCAGTTAAACTTGAGAGCTGTTGGTTTTTAAAACCAACAATTTGTACAGCAAGCATGTAAAAATGTTCATCGCCTCTCCTGGGTGTTTGATTTTATGCAGTCAAAAAAAAAAGTTCTCTTTAAAATGAGCTTCGGGATGTAATATCTTGTTATGGGAGAATTTGTAGCTAAATCCTACAAAATGTAACTCATTGAAACACAAGAAGGAAAAGAAAAAAAATCAGTCTGTGAGGAGAGTAAAAGATGGCAGTAAGCAATTTTTGTCCTACCTGCAGATTGCAGGTATACTAGATCTGCTAGTTACCTGCTTAAATTCATAGCAGGCTGACAGATTCATACTAGACTGGCACAATTCTCTTTTTAATCACATTTCTCCTTTTATTTTGCTCTCCCTCCCCATATGCCACTGCAAAATTGTGTTCTAAGTCTCTCTCTCTCCCTGTGACATCTTCATTGCTGCTTCATTAACCAGTGCGCCATCAGTGCATTTCATTATAGCCTCTCTCCTGGCTTACTGTGCTGATGCTAAGACACAGATACAAACCAGCTATCAAATGCTAAGCTGTTTATCCTTCCTTCCATTCAGACAAAGGGAAAATCATCCTTTGGGCAAAATCTTAAATAAAGTCCATATTTTATTTATTCCTATCTACCCACCAAACTGAAAGGCACTGGAACTATTCAGTTAGGAATATGACTGATTTATTTTTTTAAAGGAAGGTTGCAAATGTACCTGGCATCTCTTCAAGATGTTCCTATGATAGCTTCCACATAGCACATTTAGGAGAGGGGGACGCAATTCAACTGCCCTTGAAATAGTATACAAGCTTGTGAGCAAGATGGTTCAAATTCCCTGATTATCAGGAAAAGGAAAAAACATTGTTATGTTTGATATCTTTCTTTACAAATTTCTATATTGCATCTAGAGAAAAGATTCATATTAAACATGGTTACTTGCTTCCCTGGAATTTCATGGGGTGGGTTTATATACAATTCATTTTTGTTTAAATGAAGAGACACCTATAATTGCATAAAGAACATAAATGGCACTGGAACTTTGTTGTTATGAAACTACCAGGTCTATTGCTTAGCCACAAAATACAAGAGCTGATAGCCTACTTCACCTACCTTTCAGAAACCAGGAACACGTGTGCTGTATTTTTAAAGGAAAAATGGAAAATGAATGTGACTTCTTGCACTGGCACTGAGTTTTGTGCAGAATTGACACGAAGTTTATGGCTTCCTCATGATTTCAGTCCAAGGTTTTCATTAGTTTATTTTATCTCTCTTTAATTCTGAACTCCTATCTCTTTGATCTTGCATTTTTTATCATCAATTTTACATAGATAGCCTCACTTCTGCACATTCTGATGTGATCTTCACTTTAGGAGTCAAACACTCAACTGGATTTCTAGCCTGTATAATTCACTTTGGCCCTAGGGGATCACACATTATACCAGAAATGGACCCAGCATTACATATTCCCTTTCTGAAGCAGAAGTTGGAACAGGAAGGCAGTCATGTATGCAGGGATGGTACAGCAACACACTTGCTGCAAATAGTATAGGGATCAAAGACATGGTTAAGCCTTTTTCTAAGTATATTCTATTATTTAAATTGGGGTTTGGTCAATGGGCTTCATGAAGGATAATAGACCTAACCTACTATGTATTTTGCAAATTAATTAAGGAAATTTGCACTGGTATAACTACATTTATACAGGTTCAAAGGCCCAGTGTAGACTTCCTGTACCACCAAGATGCATATTGACAGTGGAGGTTGGCAGTAGCAATGATAGACTGTAATTAATTTCCTTAGTGCAAAAAACCCCAAACCCAACCTCAGTATAGAGGAGGCTTCAGAAAGTATGAAATTCTGTTTGAGACAACCAGTGTGTGTGGCAAACAAAACTGAAAGAGGGACATAGGCGAAATGAATGGAAAATAAGAACACATGGTCATACACATTAATGATTGTATAACCCATTGGTGAGGTTCCAAGTCAGCCTTTTTTTCTTTCCTTTTTTTTTTTTTTTTTTTACATAAAACAATAGGTTATCCTCAAATGATTCTTTGCCAAAAATTAGCTGCTATGAGTTTTTGAATTACAGGTTTTGAGTTACAGTATGAATTGAACTTCTGGATTAATTATAATTAAAGGTGTTGCTTATTAGTGAGAAGAGCCTCCCTGGAAATTGCACACCAATAGTCTGTCTGTTCTGTTTTATCCGAGTATAGAGAATAATTTAAACTTTGTTTTGAAAATCATTTTTAGCTCTGTTTATTTTTGAATTCCAGTCTCTAATATCAGATGAGAACAATAGGCTTTGTAGGCATGTTTGTATATAAGTATCTCAGTGTGCCCTTTCTTTTTTCAGGTTACGTGTGCAAATTTAACAAATGGCGGAAAATCAGAACTTCTAAAATCAGGAAGCTCCAAATCCACACTAAAGCACATATGGACAGAAAGCAGCAAAGACTTGTCCATCAGCCGGCTGCTGTCACAGACTTTTCGTGGCAAGGAAAATGATACAGATTTGGACCTGCGATATGATGCCCCAGAAACATATTCTGAGCAAGATCTCTGGGACTGGCTGAGGAACTCCACAGACCTTCAAGAGCCTCGGCCCAGAGCAAAGAGACGGCCCATTGTCAAGACTGGGAAATTTAAGAAAATGTTTGGCTGGGGTGATTTTCATTCCAACATCAAGACTGTGAAGCTAAACCTGTTAATAACTGGAAAAATCGTTGACCATGGCAATGGGACGTTTAGTGTTTACTTCAGGCATAATTCCACTGGTCAAGGGAATGTATCTGTGAGCCTAGTGCCCCCTACCAAAATAGTGGAATTTGACTTGGCACAACAGACAGTGATTGATGCCAAAGATTCCAAGTCCTTTAACTGTCGCATCGAATACGAAAAGGTTGACAAGGCTACCAAGAACACGCTCTGCAACTATGACCCTTCAAAAACATGTTATCAGGAGCAGACCCAGAGTCATGTGTCATGGCTCTGCTCCAAGCCCTTTAAAGTAATCTGTATTTACATTTCCTTTTATAGTACAGATTATAAACTAGTACAGAAGGTGTGTCCTGATTATAACTACCACAGCGACACACCCTACTTCCCTTCAGGTTGAGGATGAACATGTGTCTGAGACATAACCCGGAGGAATAAAAGAGGTCATATGACAGGGCTGTTACCTCAAAGAAGGAGGCCACATCTATTGCCTGGAATGTGTCTACACTCTACTGCTGATGTCAAATGGCTGCAAATACGTTAGTGGAAAACAATCTAATGTAATTTCTGCCCAGTCAGCTCCATGTTATCAGTCTAGTTGTAAATCACTATGGATTTGAAATAAAACCACACACACGCACAGACACACACTCTTTTCAGCTTGCATCTATTGAGATTCCCGTTAAGAGGGCTTTCATTGTCTGATACATAATGTTTCAGGATAACCTATCATCAAGCAAAAAGGATTAACTAGACAGTGAATGGTTTCTAACACAGACTGTTATGGAAATCTCCTTTAAAGTCTTGAATACATGCCAATCAATAATCCCCACTTGTGCATTCTGCCGCTTGGAGTAGCTGTACTGGTAAATAATACTGTAGGAGTAAATGCTTGTTAAAATGGGAAAAATGTGTGTCTAGAGCTCAGTATTCCATTTTATATGAACACAACAAAGCGTAGTGACTTTTTCCAGCATATAGTAGGCACATTCAAGGTGGTGTTAGGTGGCTCTTTTTTCTGTGGAGGGAGCCTGTTTCTAGTAAAGATGAGCAAACATTTGGAATTTACATGTGGGCAGATAACCTTGTTTCAAATTTCTTTACTGACCATTTAAAGATGGAGGCAGGGAGACCAGCTAAGCTACTGAAACTCTTCAACTATGCTGTAAGGAGGAAAATGCCTGATAGACAACATGTAAGTTATAAGTGGCTGTCTTATCTTTATTACAAATATTGTAACAAATTCAATATCCTAGTCTTCATTTGTATGAATGGTTTGTATTGTACATAGTTTAACCAGTGTTATTTGAGCTGCTTATTAATATTAACTTGTAATTGTCTCTCTGCTTGTTATTGGTTAAAAACAATCAAGGAAATGAGGAACCCATTTTATCAATGTAGCTGTAAACTCCATTAAAAGACAGAATTATGTACAAAGCATTTATTCAGCTAAAGTATTGTTGAAAGCTATACATATACAACATTACAGTCTGTCTGTATTTAGATATTTTATTTCCAGACAAAAGAAAATGAACTGTACATAAAAATAAAAACCTTAAAGTTGAGTTTCAATATGTACTGTGTAGATGGTAGTTTAAGTAGCTCTGACAAGAAGACTGTGCTCAAACTTTGTCATGATATTCAACTTTTTGTCTTCACATTTATGTCTGTTTCCATTCCAGTAAGGTATTCCACAAAAGTAGACCATTGTATCTCATAGGGCCTTGTTGACTCTGTTTGGGAGTACCTTCTCAAAGAACAAAGTAATTTATCATTATAAGTGACAGCAAATTACCAATTTAAGAGTGGAAAAAGTTGTTCTCTCCCTTTGTGAGTATATAGGTTTGCCTTACTTCTAGCCTGCTCCAGGTCATAGGCTCCTTTTTATGTAATGAAAGTTTTCTTCCTCAAACAGAAAAGAGATCATTATATTTCTGTTTTGTGGATACTGTTACATCCTACCCCCAGCATTCTGGTATTCAATCACAAGGGATTCAGTGGTCTGCCTATACCTAGTTGAATGCTGTTCCCCTCAACATTTCTTTTTGTTTTTCTTTGGATTATGATTCCTGCAAATCTACTCCCCTCTGTCTCTGCCTCTCCCTCCATTCTGTCTTTCTTTTCTATATCCCTCCAGAAGACATGAATTCAGACAAGGGTTAGCCTCCAAGCTCATCAAAGCCCAAACATGCACTTCTCTAGCATTATGCTCCCTAAAGTAAGAAATGAGAGAGCACATTTCCAATCCTGGATCTTCCATGTTGAATTACACAGGAATTAAGTAAAAGCCATGGTGAATTGTGCAGGTATTAAGCAATAATTCACCCTCTTTCAGTTCAACCCTTTTTTTTTAAGACCAGAATGAAAAAAACCCAATGAACAACAAGTAAATATTTCTCCCCTTGACTTTTAAGCAGAGGAGAGCTCTCTTTAGTATCATGTCTCCAGTTATTTGCAGCCAACATGGTGGTGGAAATCATTCCTTTATTATATAAGACACTTTTTCTTGGACAATTTTATCCTGATCTGTGACCATTGGATGGTTTTCACAAAGAGAGAGGCCAAGCCACAAAGTTCAGATTCTGATTCAGATTTCTGCAAAGTGAAAGAATTTGGGTGATAATTTTTGCTGGTGTCCTATCTCCTAGAGGAATTATGAATATAATGTTAGTGTTTCATAGCTTGTGCTTCATGGAAATAATCCATGCTAAGGACTAGCGATGAAATCCTCTCTCCTCTGAAGTCAGAGCTTGGCCATTGGATTTCAAAAGGAGTCATGATTTCAAATTTAGGGTTGCGTTTAGGCATTAAGCATCATGCGTAGCAATTTATATTCATGCAGAGATAGTGAAAAATGCTACAAGTGGTAGTATTTTCTTTAATCTATTTTGTCAATCTACCACCATTTGCAATTATCCCTTGAATTTATTTTTAAACTTTCTAATTTATGCAATATATATGCTTACTAACTATATGTTAATTGTATGACCACAACTGATATGAAACAAAAAAATCAATCAATATGCAATGGTTCATCTCCTTTCAAAAATGAGGCTTTGTATCTTTTGCTGCTTCTGTCACCATAATAATATTTTCCTTAATCCTATTTGAATTGATTGCTGTTTTTCATAACCATGCTTAACTTTGGACTTGGAAGAGTCATTTTTTGTTGTACTAGATGGGAGTTAGTGGTCTGAGTATAGAATATAATATGGTATATTGC